CACACACACACACACACACACACACACACACACACACACACACACACACACACACACACACACACACACACACGCAAACGCACCGTCGCTGGCAAAGGAGTCGCGGAAGTCCTCGATGCCGGCCTGCGCTGCAAGGTCGTCGACAGCGGTGGACGCATCCTCAATGACGCTGCTCGCATCCTTGAGCGAGGTGATGGTGCTGTTGTCGACAATGCCCGTGCCGTTGTCCGCGGCCAGGATCATGTCGCCAATGTCCACGAGCTCGCCCGTCAGCACCAGCAGGCCATCAATCTGGGCACCTGATTGGCGTTGTTAAGCGGGAGACAGGGAGGGGGAGGGGATGTGTGGAGATGAGATGAGATGGTGAGACGTGTGTTGGTTGAGACGTTGAGAGAGCTTGGCACAGCACTGCTCAAAACACCACTACCCACGAAACATGCAAAGTTGGACCCAACCACCACAACCCGAAAATCGAAACACCACCACCACACCACCACCACACCACCACCACCACCAACTCTTCTTGCCAACTTGCTCCTCTCACCACAACAAGCACACGCCACACCATCCCCTCCTCCTCTCCTCTCGTTTGCTTGCGCTTACCGAGGTCGTCCACCCATTGGACGGCAGAGTCCACGACGGTGGGCACGTTGTTGAACGCGGTGTCCTGGTCCTTGCTTGCCTCGAGGCCGACGATGATGAGGGCAAGGCCCGCGATGGAGCAGCAGATGAGCAGACCTCCGAGCGAGAACGAGCAGCACTGGTCCGTGGACTCCAGGCGGCACTTGCCGCAGCAGCGACAGCACGACCAAATAAGGATGCCAATGAAACACAGAACGCCAATCACAATCACAGGTGCCACGCGCTTCACGCCAACATCCTGTGCGTACGACACGAGCTCGTTTTGATCCGTCAGTGCTGCACAATGCAATGATGCGTGTGTGTGTGTGGACGGGGTGTGGAAGGGATTGAGGGGGGGGGGTGGAGCGAGTGCGACAAGTGGAAGAGAGGGGAGCGAGAGCGAGAAGGGGGGTAAGTGGGGGTGGGTGAGGAGAGGCATTGGACAACGTGTGCATTTGAGCAGCAGCAAATTCACCACACAAGCAAGCCCACGCAAGCTACACTTAGCCACACACAAGCTATCCTCACAACCCTCCTCCTTCACACACACACACACACACACATGAACTTACGGTTGTTGGTGGTCCAGCGCTTGACTTGTTTGCCAGGGGTGTAGGTGGAGTCATCCGCGGCGTTGGCAGCAGACATGGCCACGGCGCACACGCACAGCGTGGCCAGCAGAAACAGGCGGGCAGCAGCCATCGTGGTTCGGGTGGTTGTCAGGAACAGCTGAGAAGGTGTATGGAAATGCGCGGTGGGGGGGGGGGCTGGGGTTTGTGTGTGCGCTGTGCTGCAAGCGGTGGTTGAAGGTGGTGGTCGTCGTCACACACGGCTGCAGGGCTCAGCACTGCAGGCTCAGCAGCAGCACAACCTCGGTCTGGAATGGAGGACGGTGGGTGTGTGTGTTTGGGGGCACAAAACTGCACCGCCTCTCGCGCACCCACACACGTCTTGCCAACCACAGGCCAAACAAAACCCAACACGAAGAGCGCGGTTCGGTGCACCGAAGTGACGTCAGTTCCTGTTCTGGCTGCATCGAATCAATAGTTCACAACGCTCCCGCTTGATGATTCGAAGCGGCGTTTTGTTGACTAAACACGTTTCAGCAATATCTTCGTGCTAATTTCGTCAGTGCGAAAAGCTGTCAAAAAGCGACTTTGTTTCTTCTTCGAAACCGCGAACCGCGACAACAAAAAACCGACAGACCACACCACGACAACCCCATTCTCCGCCCACCACCGTTTCGTCCTTGCACCACGACCAGAAGCAAAGCAAGAGCCCGACCGACGAAAGCACACACCAACACACCACCATGCTGAAGAAGCTGTCGCCGACCGTGCGGGCATGGCTGCCAACCGTGCTGGTGGCCCTAGTTTCCATGGCGGGCGTCTTCATCGTCGCTCAAAACAACCTCGACTACGAGCTCTACAGCCCCGGACCACAAGTCAGGCGCTGGCACTCCGATTTCAGTGCGTGCAATGTGGGCGTGGTGTTGTGGTGGCATGTGTATGTGTATGTGTGTGTGTGTGTGTGTGTGTGTGTGTGTGTGTGGTGTGGAAGGGGCGTGGTTAAGAACGGGGATGGCTTTGAACGACAGTGCTCATCCGCTCACCCTTGATATCTTCCCTTCGCTTGCGATCCCCTTCCTTCATACATATCTCACCTCCATCCACACACGCACACACACACACACGTGTACACCGCATGCACGCGCACACCACGCGCATACACACGCACACATACACGCGCATACACACACATGCATGCACACACACACATACACGCGCATACACACACATGCATGCACACACACACACAACACGTACATGCATGTACATACATGCATACACAGACCTTGACTTGAGCAACCTGGACTTTGATTCGCTGAAGGGCTATGCCCAGGATGTGGGCGTGAAGCGCGTCGCCCCCGTCATCATCGTTGGCGTGCTTTGCTTCATTGGCCTGCTCATCTGGACCTGCTGCCGCTGCTGCGGCAAGTGCCGCCTCACGGACGCCTCCACTTGCTGCAAGACCGTGCTCATGCTGCTCCTGCTCGGCACCCTCATCGCCGGCATCGCCATGATCAGCGTCGGCTTTGATGCAGATCGCCAGCAGTCCGACGCCATGGAGGCTGTCCCCGGCGTCGTCGACAACGTCGTGCAGTTCCTCCAAGACACAAGTCAGTGCGTTGTGTGTGTGTGTGTGTGTGTGTGTGTGTGTGTGTGTGTGTGTGTGTGTGTGTGTGTGTGTGTGTGTGTGTGAGTGAGTGTGTGTGTGAGTGTGTGAGTGTATCTTCATGTTTGCATTTGGCAATCTTTTTGGCACCTGCCAGTCAATTCAGTTCTTCCTGTTTCTGTGCGTGTGTGTGTGTGTGGGGGGGGGTTCTTCTATCCACACATTGTAACCTCTGTCACCCATCCACTCGTGTGGTTGTATTGCACACCATAGGCGACTATGTTGTGGAGCTCGGTGCCGTTGCCGACGACCTCGCCGCCAACACCGTCGCGCTGCTTGAGGCAGACAACGGTACGCGCGTGCGGTGACAATATGAAATGAGGCGCAATGACGTGCACGTGTGTTGGGTGGGGGAGTGAGGTTGCAGTACGCTGTGTGCAGGTGCATCCCTGTGTGGCATGCGCGCCAAATGTAATTCCTCCCTCACCTATGAGACGCACTCTTCCTCACCTCTTTGACCTCGTTCACGCACACACACACACGCACACTGCAGGGACGGGCGTGATTACGCAGTCGACGGTGCAGGACCTGAACGACGCCGTTGATCTGATTGAGACACTGGCGGACAGCATCGACACGGAGGTCAGCGACATCGACCTCACCCAGCTCGAGGACTTCTCAGATAACGGTGTGTGTGTGACAGTGTGTGTGTGTGTGTGTGACAGTGGGACAGTGTGTGTGTGGGTGTGTGTGCTCATGCACGTGCATCAGACTTGCCCGTTGCTCGCATGCACGCGTTCTTACCGTTCTTGTGTGTATTGTTCAAACATGCGCGCCTGCAGTTGACAAGTACAACGAGCAGCGCCATCTTGGTCTCGTCATTGTCCTCGCCGTGCTCCTCTCCCTCGTCCTTCTCGAAGGTACAGCTCAAAGATGCACGCACACGCGCGTGCTTGTCATTGCTTGCGGTGCTGACGCGCATCCCGTGTGTGCGTCCGCATTAGCTACATACACACACAGACACATACACACACACAGACACATACACACACGCACACACACACATACACGCACGCACACACACACACACATACACACACGCACGCACACACACACACACACACACTCTCACAAGCCCCGTCTCCACCACCATCTTTCCAACACCCTCCGCCCCAGGTCTGTTTGCGCTGCTGAATGCGTATGCGGGCGACGACTACAAGCCAAAGAAGAACTGCATGCGCTACTTCACCCCCGTCATCGGCATTCTCGCCATGATTGTTCTCCTCGTCCTCTGGGTACGCACCGTCGGTGTGGCGTGATTGCAGAGGGGGGGGGGTTGCTGGTTTACGTGTTTGTTTGTTTGCTCGTGTGTGCACTGTTGATGTGCCCTCATCTTCGCTCGTGTGTGCACTGTTGATGTGCCCTCATCTTCGTTCGTGTGTGCACTGTTGATGTGCCCTCATCTTCGCTCGTGTGTGCACTGTTGATGTGCCCTCATCTCCTCTGCCTGTATCCTCAATCTCATTTCTTCCTCACCCACTCTAACCCCCTCACGCACACACACAAACACACGTCTTCAACCCCGTCTCCCCAACACCTCACCCTCCTCCCCAACACCTCTCCCCTTTCTGTCACACACACACAGATCTTGTCTGGTGCGCTGGTGGGCATCATGACGGCGTCGTCGGACGTGTGCTACGACCCCAACACGCAGTTCACGAACCTGCTGGAGGATACGTCCAACAGCCAGGACGTCAACGACCTCATCTCCTTCTTCATCAACTGTGGACAGGATCCCACCCTCCCAAACCCACTCCAGAGGTGGGAGGGGGCGTAGTGTGTGTCTGTGCGCGTGCGTCCGTGCGCGTGTGTGTGTTTGTGGGTGTCTGTCTGTCTCCGTGTCTGTGTGTCTCTGTGTACTTGTTTTTATTCTGTCACCTCGCGCTTGCTCATGTTTCCGACACTCCACATTCCATCCCTCGCCCTCCGCGTCGAAACTCACCCTCGTGCACCCCCCCCCCCTCTTCTACACCACACCACCACCACCAGCGACATCAACGGTATTCTGTCATCGCTGAACGATTCGCAGGTGTACGTGCTTGACCTGCGCCAGGAGGTGCGCGACGAGCCAAACTGCGACACGCCGCAGTACAACAGCACGTGCGAGGCCATCGCGGCCGCCCTTGCCGTGAGTACACCCGGCACCATTCCTGCGTCACGTGTGTACGTGTGTGTGTGTGTGTGTGTGTGTGTGTGTGTGTGTGTGTGTGTGTGTGTGTGTGTGTGTGTGTGTGTTTTCTGCAGGACGATGCGTTGCCTGCACTCTACATGGAGGAAGAAGGGATTCTTGGCAGGCGCTCATTGATTATATACACACATCACATCACAACACCACACAACACCACACCACACCACACCACATCACCCGTCGTCTTGCGCCTCAGAACACAACGCGTATCCTAGATGACCTTGAGGAAGTGCTCGGCGCAAACACAATCGACTCGACCGGCAACGCACGTGATGGCTTCCTCTCCCTCGCCGGCTGCTACGGCCTCAACGAACGGTGTGTGCGTGCGTGAGTGAGTGTGTGTGTGTGTGTGTGATGTGATGTGTGTTGTCGTGGTAGCTTTGCTGACTAGGACACGGCTGTCCTTGCCTCCGCCCCCCACCTCGCTCTGCCAACTCCCACCCAATAACCCCTCTCCCCCCCCCACCTAAAAACACATCCTCCTCCCCTGCAGGTACAACCTTGTGCTGCGGACGTTCTGCGGCGATGCGGTGGAGGCGCTCGGGAAGTCAACAGAGGTCGTGCTTGGCTTTGCCGTCATCTACGTCTTCACACAAGTCTTCATCAGGTGCGTGTGTGCGTGTGTGTGTGTCTGTGTGTCTGTGTGTCTGTGTGTGTGTGTGTCTGTGTCTGTGTCTGTGTGTGTGTGTGTGTGTGTGCACGCGTGTGTTACGTTTTCCCGTGCACGTGTGTGTCGTATTTTGTAACCGCCTGTCATCCCCCTTACCATTCCCACCTGCTCCCTGCCCCCCCCCTCCGCCCCGGAACTCCTGTACGTATTCCCCGATCTCACCCACCACATCCACCACCATTACCACCACCACCACCACTCCGGCAGGCGGACACCGGTCTCGATGAAGATGATGACACGTCCAAGGTCCTGTAGACTGTAGCGCGCCTTCCACCCGAGAATACATACACTACAGACATGCATCCTGTATCCACACCTGCCGTCCTACGTTCCGTTGTTGTTGTTGTTGTTGTTGACGAGGTGTTTGGTTTCAAGTGGCTGCGCCTTTGTGGTTTGGGAGTGCTATTCTGCTGGCTCGCTTGTTGTGTGTCACTGAACTGCTGTTGGCTGTGATGATGTGACGATGGCATGGCGGCGACGCGTTTTTGATTCCACAACAAAAATCAAAATGTCTTCTCCTCCGCCTCTGCATGTTTCTGGTTCCATGATGGCGTCATGTTGTCGGTGTTGCTGTTGTGAGACATAAACCCATACACGTCACCATTTTCCTTGCTTGCTTCAACGACAACATGGAGAGAAAGTGTGTGGGTGGAGGCGGGGTTGAGCTTGAGTGAGACCAACGCGCGTGCACACACACACACACACACACACACACACACACACACACACACACACACACACACACACACACACACACACACACACACACACACACACACACACACACACACACACACACACACACAATCTCTTTGTTTTCGAAACTTCCAGCAAATCATTCACGACAAATCACAGCAGTGTTTGGATTTGTTGGTCTCAGCCAGTGGCAAGCAGCTCCAGTTTTGTGCCAAGAAGAAGACACACACATCCACGTACACCACACACCACCACATAGACTACACCCCATACATGC